CACAGAAAGTCGCCTTGCGTAGTTTACGGCTCCATTCAATGGAGAGACGTGTTTAAAGTAAAAAAATAAATAAAGAAATGAAGCTTTGTGTTTGGAGAGAGAATGGCTCGAAGCGGACACAATGCAGGTTATGACCTCCGGGGAAGATGTCATGACCATAGATACAGGTTTAAAATAACTGGTGCTAGGCATGGCAGGAGGAGACTGGGCCAGATGGCGAGCCATTTAGCAGCTGGTGCAGGAAGTTAGATCAACCAAAGGCTTGCTTCTGCACGCTGTGCTCCAGGAAGCTTATTTACGCAACCAGCAGCAAAAAGGTGCTACGAAGACATGAGTTAGACACTGGTTATCAAGCTGCTGTTCATGCGGCCGCGCACGCTACACGTTTGCCGGGAGCTACGGCAACAGCTGATGTACCGGCGTCAATAACTGACCGTGTACGCCAGTTTTAAAAAAAGCGTAAGTCCTCGACGAACGCAACGCTTAGCATTAAAAATGGATATCAAAAGAAATGTGGTTCATGCAAGTGGTAGATAGATGCTCTACTGCCATCTTTTGGCCAGTTTTGGTATTGCATTGTCAAAAGTCAAATTTTGTCTTCAATCATTCATGCAACCTCTGATCCCATGACCTCACACCCCCTGGCATGGTTTGAAAATACACACATACATGTTGAAAACGTTCAGGCTCAGCATTTTTTTTTTTTTTTTGCTCTAATCCCTGCAGGTGTTAACCCTGAATGAAGCCACTTTTAGAAACAATATAGTTTTGTGATCTTATAATATCTCCTAAAATTGTTAGTATGATTAGTCCATCAGTCAGACTCTGAAGATATCTTATGTTACACTGAAAAATATTATAATTTAAATATAAATTTTTTTCTTAAAATAAGTGCATTTTTTCTTGAATTACGGCGGAAAGTGAGACATTTTGCAAATGAAACAAGACAATTTACATTTAAAATGAATAAAAAAATCAATTGCATTGTCTTATTTCTAGTGCATATTATCTGATTATCTAATTTTAAAGGTAAAATTACTCATTCATAAATACACTTAATTAAATTCAATATTGACTTATTTCTAGATTGTTTTTGCAGAGCAGCCATTATGATATATTTAATCCCCAGCCAGGTAGGAGAGATAATCAGTTTTTTGAATCAAACAGGCCGATCCAGCTGGACGTGTCCATTTTCCCCTTTCCGCCCCATAGTTCCTTTAAATAACACTGATCATGTGGCTCATTTAAACACACAGTGAGATGTGATGCAGCGCTTTGAATGGACCATTGATGGTTTTAGGGCCTTTCTTCTGCATGAAGAAAAGTTTTATATATCAGGATTGTTTTGGCTTATTTCCATTTTTGGGTTGTTGATCCGAGTAAACTTCAGTATGGAGTCCATACCACCAACACCATCATCATCTTTGTTTATATAGCGCTTTAAAACAGCTACAGCTGTTATCGAAAGTGCTGAACATGGCTAAAAATAATTAAAAAACACAATAAAAGAATAAAATACAACATAACAATATATATTAAAAAAAGGCAATAATAAGAAGGCTAAATAAAACAACAATGTTAACAAGCCGTGTTTTAAAATTCGTCAGTGGAGGAGCCTCCCTAATGAGCCGCCAGAGGCTATTCCAGGAGAGGCAGTGATAGAGGAGGCTCTGGCCCCCTCTAAGCTTCCTCTGAAACCTGAGGGACCAAGAAGCTCAGAGAGCTAAGATGGGGCAACGTCATTTATGCACTAAAAAACAAAAAAACAAATACTTTTAAAATCAACTCTAAAGTGAACAGGCAGCCAGTGGAGTGAGTGGAGTTTTTCACCAGCTGTAAGTGAGACAGGAAAGACGGACCCCAACATATAGTCCGTGACAGTAATCCAATGAAGATGAAGTAAAGGAATGGATGACGGTTTCAAAGGGTTGCCGTGAAAGAAAAGGTTATAGTTTTGCCAATTGTCCACTGAAACCCAAATTTGTGACGGTCGATTTAGAATGTGGTTTCATAATAACAGTTTAACTTTTTTAAATCTCACATTGGAGAAATCTACCTTTGCATCTTACCCATCTCCTTGGGGAGCAGTGGGCTGCCATCGTGTGGCGCCTGGGGAGCAGTGGGCTGCCATCCTGC